AAATCGTGTATTGAAATAAGGAGATGCACAAATCCGAAAGACTGGCATTATGTATCAAGCTCAGCAACCAGCTGATCTCCTAGAGGTAGCAGATGGTGGGAGTGGCTTAAACAAGACCGGATAATGGCCCTCTCTGAAGAATCAGAACTAGAATGATGAGAGTAAGAATATGTTGCATTTCCTAAAATTGCAAGGTGGGGAATGTTTCAGGAATGTGCACAAAAGAGTTAAACACAATAATTAAATGTTCGTTATACGGCGATTTTTGTGGCAATAGTTATTTTTTTTAGATTGTTTGAGCGAGATACGCATGGAATGTTATTCTTTTTATTATGTTAGAATACTAAATAAAATGGTTTGTTGTTAATTTAAAAAGGTTTTCTCTGCTAAATATATTACCATTCGTTCAAAGTATTAAATAAGTCAAGAAATTGATTAATTTCAAACATCTATAATATCCAGGATTTGCTTAACATTGTCCTTCACACCCTTTCGACAAGGTCAAAAAACAATGAAATGATTGCAAATATGAGTAAGACAGTAACTTCAAGATTTTACCCTCTACAAACCTCAAGAGATAGAGCTATTTTATGGAGACCAACAGCTCCCCAGGAGTCAACAGGCTTGGGAATGGTTTTGCATTCCAGGCTAAGTTGGAATAAATAGGCCAGCTGGGTATAGGCTGGTACTATACTGGGTACAGGCAACATGAGAAATAGACTGCTTAAAAGGCTTACTGGTATAAAGTGGGGTACTACCCAAGATCTACTCTGTACCACTTATAAATCTTAAATTAGGCCAGCTGTTGAATATTGTGGTGAACTTCTCATAACTGCCTCTAGAACAGAGTTGAAACTACTCGAAATAATGCCCTGAGAATCATCACCAGTGGAGCATTTTCTATTCCTATCTAGGCTATGCAATTGCAAACAAATATTGAGCCTCTGACTCATCAACAGAAAGTGCTCTCAAGTTGGTTAAGAGATTGATGAGATGTGGTAATTTCTGAAGGATTTACAATCCTGCAGAGCTAGGTTAAAATACTAACTTACCTTTTTACATGTCATAAATGAACTGCCTCAATTTTTTATATCCCGTCCTTTAACCGACAGCCACTACTTGAGAATTGGTGAGTTTCTAAGACATTTGAAGTTGGCAAATCATAATTTAGACTTGGTTCTGCCGCCCAGTAAGAAATCCTACACTGAGACAGAATTGAGGATGACTGCTTTGGCCACTATTGGAGAAAGATTTCCAACAATGCACTGGTTGCATGTGTACACCGATGGTTCTGGTATAGGTGCTAATAATAACGCTGGTGCAGGGGTTTACTTCCAGCACTTCAGCTTTAGCAGGGCTGTTAGTGCAAATTATATTAACTATGATGCTGAAGTGAATGATGTTCAACTGCCTTTGACTGAAATCAGTAAAAGATGATCAGAACATTGTGATATTTAATGACTCACAGTCTACTATTAAAGCAATTTCTTCAGTTGTACTTTCAAATAATGGGTTTGTTCTAAATAGTCAGTTTGTGATAAATTCTTTACTAAATAATGGTAGAAATGTTACTCTGCAGTGCTCAAGTCGTGGAATCCTGGGTAATAAGTGTGCTGACACTCTGAGCAAAGCTGGATATGTCCTCCCACAACATGATCCTGGTCAGAATCATTAGAGCCAGATGTGGAGCTTATCTCTGGGAGAAGAATGGGGCCTCTGTGAAGGGAAATTTGGGGTTCCTTGATGCAGAATCCCAATCCTTGCAACCTACCTAGACCTGTTGGTGCCACTAACTTTAAATTAATAACCAGACATGACTACCTTATGAAACACCTAGATTTGGTTAGCAGACTCTCCATCTTGCCCATTATGTGATATTGACATGTGTGGTGACCATTTGGACACTTGTTCTAGATTTAAAAATGTGGCATTGGCTAACGCTGTCGAAAATTATTGCACATTTTTAATGTTTCCGAATTGGATTGTGCTGCCTGTCACAGACTAATGGCAGTCATGTGTAGGTCTGGCATGCGGGAAGATACACAAATCACTACTTTCTTGGTCTAGGTCAATTTGTAAAAAGCACAATTACCATCTAAAACAGAAAATATTTTTGTTTTTGACATTTTTGTAACAACTTCATCTATGGTTAACAAATGATATGTTTTTTTATTGCGTTATTTAAATTTCTATGATCTAAACATCTTTGAACTCAAGAATTACTCTCCCTGTTACAAGGGTAACATCACTTCCAAAAGTTAAGCGGAGAGAAAAATGCTAATTCCGGAAGCCAATCAGAAGAAGAGGATGCATTCACTGCAGAGGTAGATGGAAGTAGCAGATATGTTAGGTACAGCAATCACGCTTTCATGTCAAGAAATGCAAAAAAGGCAGTCTTATAAGAAGCCAGCTTTATGAAGGGTTCCAGAAGGTGATTGTAAGTGCTGATAGAAGGGTTTAAACTTTCGTACAATTTGTTTTCAGACATAGTGTTGGTATGATTCCAGAAGACGAAGGAAGATTTGAGTGCTCGTGCTGTGGGGCACATGAAGCCGGACAGTCTATCACAGATGTTGCTCTTTTCTTTGGCATTCATCATTCTGTAATTTCATGTTTATGAAAACAATTCCACACCGCACAGACAGTTGTCCGAAGGCCCATAGCTGGTAGCCCAAGGGTTACAATCGATATATTGCTATTGTAGCCAAGGGGAATCGCAGAGCGACCTCCACGCATATGACATCTATGGTTACAGCGTCCATTGGTAAGGCAATATCTGCAGCTACTGTACGCTGAAGATTACACATGAGTGGACTGTATGTGTGGGTATCTCCAGTTTGTGTTCCTCTATCCGTCCAATCAAGAGGGGCACGAGTACGGGTGGTGCCGAATGTGTTATGACTGGGGCAAGTCATGTTTACTGATGAGTCAAGATTTGTCGGGAGCCAGAAGGACAGCGTATAAGGATATGGCGTGAACAACAAACACGCAATCAGTCCCAAAACATAAGCAAGCATCACACATTCCGAGGCGGAAGCATTATAGTTTGGGCAGGGATTTCATTAGGATACCGCACCGACCTGCACATCTTTAAATGGGGTTCTTTGATGGCTATCCGGTATCAAGATGAAGCCCTAAAGTGCATTGTGAGATTTTACGCTGAAGTAGTTAGCCCTACATTTGTTTTAATGGACGATAACACATGTGCCCATAGAGGTGACATCGTCGATGACTACCTGAAGAGTGAAGGGATTGCGCATATGGCGTGGCCAGCATATTCACCAACCTTAATCCCATTGAAAATCTTTGGGATGCTCTGGCCGTGCTGTATCTCAAGTTTCCACTCGTCACTCTTTGTGATGGAAAATGCTCTACAAGAAGAATGGTGATTGGTTAATTCTGCAGTGGTGACACCTAATTGAAAGCATGGTCACAAGATTTAAACTTTGTATACAGATGAGGGGGGGCATCACAAATCCTATTAATGTTTTTTTTTTTTTTTTTTTTTCCATTTTATGCTGTTTATTTTCAATTATACATAATTCTGTTTAGTCTCCAGTATGTCATTATTGGATTACCTTACAAAATTTAATATTGTTTTCATTCTGTATATAATTATGATTTGTTTTATGCATAAATAATATGCTACTTTCCTGCCGAATTTTGTGTCAATCAAAGCAGTATTTGTTCATTTTTTTTTGCATTTTACATCTTCGTGCTTAAATTTTGGAAGTGAGTGTATATAGCTTTAACCTACCTTCGAGAATATTCCCAAGGCAAACGTGTTCTAGAATGTTCTCACTCTGTCTGTGACATATCACTAATTCTGGCACCAAATATCACCAAATGGGCAATTTTACACCAAAAAAACCTGCCTTTCTCTGCCACTTTCTGGCAACCGTAAGTCACCCTTGCAAGGGAGCTATCTCATTACGTTTTGCAACAACATACAATAAAGGGCATGCACTTTTAACTGTTTAAACACTTACTCATAAGCCTAGAATATTATATATTGGACAGCACTGCAATCTAGTCATTAATAGCAATCATTGATCTAGATAAAGATTTTTTAGTGCCTGTTTGGTTTTGAAAACCTTTTGCGCTATATTGGTTAAGAAATAACTAATTATAGATATTGTCTGTGCAACAAACTCGGAAATTTGTCAAATTTTACTTTTTAGAAGCTCTCACATGTACATAAATTTCTTCTAAGATTTCTTGCAACTGAAATAACTAGCAAAAGCACTGCAAGTGGAAGTCCAAACCTTCTACTTTAAAACTTATAAGGCAGACTCACTTAGGAATGCATATTCAACACATAAAAGCAAAAATATTTCACAAACAGTTTGCTCATAAAAGCCATGAATCTTTTCGATTATAGGATAACAGACACCAAACAATTTCCTACAGAAAAATAAAGTACACTGAGTTATTAGTGATACTTCATTTTGGATTCTTATTTATGTAAATTCATGCGGAAATGTAATAATAAAAAAGAAAAAGAAAAAAAGAACAGCTCTTAGCTGACATCATTGGTCATCTTTAATTTAAATGTATTTTACTCATCTCTTATAACAGTGTCCTGGCTTTGAAACTATTTCATTGAAAAAAGGTTTAGAAATGTGTAATGATACTTCAGTTCCTTGTTTATTGAAAAAATTTAGCAGTGAGATCAGGGGCGTAGCTAGAGGGGGGCAAAGGGGAGGCATCTGTCCCCAGGTGCAGAATCCAAGGGGCGCTAAACTGATGTTACGACATTTTAGAATTAAATTTTTTTCATCCTTGGCAAGCAGTAGGAGGCATGAAATCTTCAGTTGTCCCTGGGTGCTGAAAACCCTAGCTACGACTCTGAGTGAGTACACTTGGATATTTTTAATACCATTTTGTCCTATAGAAAAAAAAAAGATCTGAAGCTATATGTAATAAATAAAGCTTAAAAAATAAGAGAGTAAGTTATGTTTAAAAGACCTCCAATGCATTTTTATAATTTAAAAACATACTTTTAACATGTTTTTGTGCTCTCTGATTGACATCACGATGCCATTGAGCTGGACTGTTTGGCAGATAACATGCTTGTGAAGGCTGTGATGGAATTGGATGTCTTGGTATATACTCAGGATGAACAGCTCTAAAACCAACAGGATAAGATCGCGGTAATTCCCACTCTGAAACATGATCCTCATTTATCTGCAAAGGACCTATAAAAGGAAACATAAATATTAAGAATGAAATAAAATTCTAAATAGATTAAAATTCAAGCTATCTTGTACAAGACTTCATTAAAAATATCTAAAATTATTATGACTTTTCAAAATAATTAAATCTGAGAATACTAGATAACTAACATTGATAAGATATTCACATATAATTTCGTATGCTACATAAAAGAAAAATGAAAACATGTATTTCAATGCTTTAATTGCAGAAGAATAAGTAAATATTTTATTTAGTTTGTTATACAGTTCTGTGCAATTTTTTTTTTTTTTTTAAACATACAACACATGCACTGCTCATTCACTGAAGACATAAGTTTTTCATATTTTTAAGTATGTTTAAAAATGATCTTAAGCAAATAAATATTCTGTTTTATTATTTTAAACTCAAGACAAAAATATATGAAAATATTCTAGTTCATTTTTATTAAAGCATGCTTCCTCTTAATTTACATAAACCTAAAGCTGCTTTAAGATTTTTATATAAATTTATTTACGTAGGTCAATCAGAAAGTTTGTTGTACAACTGCGTAAATATGTTCCGTCTAAGACTATTTCAATGACACTGTGTGGCAACACTTTAGGCATGTACCTTTATCGCGTGACGTAGCGGCTTTCCCAAGGCAAGTTTAGTTTTTTTTTATAATCAGTCGCAAACATGTCTCAACAGCTGCAAATAGCGTCCAAATTGGAAATGTGTGCAGTGATTCGGTTTTTGTGGGCAAAAAGGTACAACTGCGCTGAAATTTATGTGCAGATACATTAAGTTTATGGTGAAAATGCAATGTCACGTCAAGCTATCGCGAAATAGTGCAACATGTTTGAGAATAAGACGTACAGATATTGACGGCACTGAGCACGAGGAAAGACCCTCAACTGCAACAAATTCGGAAATCGCTGCTTGCGTGAATGAATGCATTCTTGCAAACAAACGCATAACGATAGATGAAATTTCAAATGAACTGGATGTTTCTCATGGAAGTGTGCATAAAATTATTGCCAATCACTTTAAATTTCGTAAAGTGTGTGCTCAATGGTTGCCACATCTATTGACAGAGGAACATAAGGGAAAGCATTTTGAAAGTGCATTTGCATTTCTGAAACGTTACCAAACGGAAAGAAATGAAGACACAATAACACGCCGAATAAATACTAATTCAGAAGTCAAACAACAAAAATCAGCGTTTATATTTACAAAATTTTCACAGGACTAGTTTCGATGGTTTTACCGAACCAACCATCCTCAGCTGCAAAACTGCAAATGAACAAGATAGGAAACAATGATTGGATAAGATAAGAAAGCCTGGACAAGAATAAGAAGGACTTGCTTATGTTGAATGCTAATTATGTTGAAAAGTAGATTTTGAATAGAACTTTAAGATATAAATAGAGTTATTATAAAATTTTGCTGCTGTTTTGTTTTCTTAGGCAGTGCAACTAACTTTTTGACTGACCCTCGTATATGAAAACCTATATATTTAATGCATTAACAGTTACACATCTGACAATACTTTTATAACTTTTCTCCAGTTTCATATACAGCAATTCTCGGACTACTTTTGCAACATGCTTCAAACATCTCCTGTAATTGTGTTACTATGCTCCATTCTGTGTCTTCATATAACATTTACTTTAAAGAACCTAGGGAAAATCATCAAATTAATAGCCACATTTCAAACATCTCCTATAACTGTGTTACTATTTTCCATTCTGTGTCTTCATGTAGCATTTAAAGAATTCACTCATATCCATTTAAAGAAGAACCTAAGTCATCAAATTAATAGCCACATTTGTATTTTTGATTACAGAACACAAATAAAATATTTAAGAACATAAATCTTATATTAAAAAATGGCAGATATTTGGTAATTTCAACTGCATCATCCAACTTCTCTGACCAGCATATCTGCAGCGCTTCTTCAATTAAAGCAGGTATCCAGAACTTTTCAGACATGAAAAGCTGAGAAAAAAGATGCTCCTGCTGAAAAGTATGTCTATTTAACATCCAGTAAATGGTTACCTCACTAATTTGGTGACATAATCACATTTTCACAGAATCAATTATTCTTTTTTAAATGAAATAAATTTCACAACTTCAAATTTGCTAACAGATGAACAAGTTGCTATTCTGCTTCTTCAAAAAGGAAGGTAAAAGTTTACAATTGAGTGCCCCTTGTCTTTTTGGCTATTCTTTTTTTATGCTAAGATCGGCACCAGGATGGTACAATTTCAAGATGGCCGCTACACAAAACCAAAATAGGAAGTCAAAGAATTGCATAAACTGTGTGTCCATATACACATCGATCTATTTTCACTTGAAAAAACATCAGAGAATAGCACACACTAGGCATTGTGTACTGCCTTAACTTTGTCCATGTACACATTGACCTATTTTCACTTTAAAAAAATCAGGCAGTTAAAACAAAGTTAAAACTATCATGGTAACCAAAAATGGGGTTTCATCACCAAAAACTGAACAAAATTAGTTGCTAATCGAAGGGGCACCCAATTCTACACCAAAAGCCAAAAGGAGCCATTCTTCATAAAAATATACATAAAATATTCTGTTTGAATAATCTCATGAAATTAAAACAAGACATGAGGTCAAAATGGCTGTGACGGCCGGGAAGTAAATGATGTTCAAATACATACACGATTTGTTGATTCACACATTTTTTTCATTACTGCTGCATGATTCATTTACTTATGATATCAGGATATAACATCTAGTGGGTATTACAAACCTAAACTTATTTTAAATAAATAACAGCACAATGGTTAATTGAAATGATTACACAAGAGCTTACTATCTTGTTCTAACATTTAAATCAACAAAAAAGTGGTAACTGATGAAATCTTACTCACAAAAGAAAAAACTAACACCAGGTAATGAATGTTCTTTTAGCATAATAGATTTTTAAGGATTTTATCATGAAATTAAAGAATATTTCTATATCACGGAAGCATTCTCACAAAGATGTAATGTAAATGTAAATGCTGTCAACAATGGTGATAGTAGCTCAAACCTGGTAGCCCAATGGATCTGCTTGTTCACAGGTAGCAATAAATTTTCTAGCAATTAATAGATAGAAATATTTTTGTGTAATTAAGGAAGCTGTCAGAGATAGACGATTTATGGTGATGCATCTTGGAAGAATTATTGCCTTCATCGAAAACATGTTCACAGCAAATGGTAGATAAATGAAAATTCTGATGCCACTGATTAAGAAGCATGTGACAAGGGGAAGAACTGTTATGACTGATGATTGGCAGATATATTCATTCTTAAGCTGGCATGAGTACTATGTGCATTAGACTGTTAATAATTTTGCAAAATTTGTTAATTAGGCAGTTGGTGCACACAGCCAGATGACAGAATTGAACAAGTGGTCTCTAAAAGTAAAATTATAAAGTTGCTCAAAAAATTTACTCTGAAAGTTAAAATTAACACTATTTTCATATGAAGTGGTCTTCATTAAGCAAACCCAGCTGATCACGTATTCAAATGCCTATTTTGCAGTGAAGTTAACATAGCATTATGATCCATTCATGATAATTTTAAACACAATTATAAATACTCTGACAGTTACTCGATGGCACAAGTTTTTGAAAAATAAGGGATTTTTTCAGGGCCATAAAAGTCTGAAAAACGTTAATTTTGCTTTGGCATTTTGTGTTGAAAATGTTAAATGTCTCTTTCACTTTTCAAATTGTGGCCACCAAATATTATCACCTTGCGTTGTATTTAAAGAAATTAAATAACGAAGAATCTGCATAAATCTATGCATGTTTCTTGCATTAACAAACTTCAAAGCGAGCAATGGGAACACAGTACGGAAAAATTTATCTCCAGCGTGCGAGACTGTGTATCGGAAATTCTAAAGATATTCTCTTTTTAAGTTATTTTGTGATGTTGCCGTTGAATAGGATTTTATGGTTTAAGTGCGAAGAACGTGATATTAAATAAAGGTAACACACGAAACATTAGAAAAAAGGCATCTTTCGGCACAATATGAAATCAATATAAACTTTCAGATTTTTTTAACTCATTTATGATAATAAAATTATCAAAAATCTACTTCAACAATAAAACTAATACTTATTTTAAGTTTTTAGCTAATCTTTACTTTCATATGCTTAATATCATGCTTTTCTGCTAGCCCAAATGTAATTGTACTGATTATGTTTAACGAGCTATATTGGACTTGCATGTGCTTAATGCGTTTAACCAGCTAATTTTGAGCTAAATTTAACAAATATGTGCACAGTACCATGCTACACACCAAATACCATGTTTAAAATGCTAAATTTGACTTATATATGCCATAAGTCATGTTTTATTTCAAAACTTAACCACGTATTACTGCAAGAAAAAATTCACTGCCACCAACGAGTTCTTTGCAGAAGTAAACACTGTATCACTTTTTTGGATTGTTCTGTTTCATCTAGTCTCCTGTCAAAGACATGGGGGAAGAAATATATCCTAATGTGTCAATGTGGAACAGAAACTGCATGATACAGCTTTAATGAAAAACTACCAAATATGAACACTCAACAAACAGAAAGAAAAATTGTTTTGCCTTTTCTGCTTATAAAATGCTGCAACTATATAAAAGTTAATTCGATACACCAAGATGGCATTTAAGTATCACAGCATGTCTATGTCACAGCATATCTGCTGCACATGCTTACTTTAAAATTTTGAATGCTAACTCACTGACGTTAACGAAATGTAAGAGATGCCAAGTATGAAGATAGCAGTTGTGATAGCTATATGCATACAATGCATTTCGTGAAGTTTGTTAAACAGAAAGACAAACCTGTTGCTGCTCCGTGAGGCGAGTAGTGGAACGTATGAGAATATTCAAAGCCAGTCTCTCCGCACCTCATGACTTTGCTGTGCGTACCCAACAGTTTCAGTTTATAAAATGGATAGCTGCTCTAACATATTTATAATTCCTAAACAGATTCAAATATTTCTACAGAAAATGCAGGGAAAAATTCTGAACGTAGACTGGGCTCGATATCAAACACGATTTATCACTTTTATTCTTCATTTAAAATTACCCATGCAACACCACTAACACATATCAATGAGCTCTGAAATTGAAAAATTTAGAATGCAGTAAAGAAAAAATTTTCCCCTGTTTGTTTTATAACTAGATTAAGGTACCATGTGCATAAATATTTTTACTGAGAACATAACTACCAACTACAATAAGACAGTAGCGTCTGCATCCTAACGGCAACCAAGGTTCTTTAATATACTTATAGTAGCCTTAATATACTAAGGTTTGCCAGGTGCCATTGGTTGCTGGTAGTGACGTCACTCGGGAGACAAGACGCATCGGCCGACGCGTCTGCTACATGATTTTGGTAATGAAAAAAAAATGTAAACTAAAGCAAAATGATCATTTTATATGTGGTAGATACACCGGAAATACCGGGTATATACTTTCCAATTAAGTATTTTGTTAAAGAAAATGTTTATTTTATGCACAGAATTCGTACGAATGCTGAAAATAATTGTAAACATTAAATTCTTTTCGTAAGGAAAGCATTAGAAAAGGAAAAACGATTTTAAGTTAATTAAGGGAAATAAATATTGTAAAAACAAGGGTATTTTTCAATATTTTTTCGTAGTATTGTTTGCACTAAATAAATCTTGTTGAACAGAACACATGATGGCATAACTGCTAACCATGGTAAAAACATAATCAAAAATTATTATCTATTTATTTTCATTGCTCATGCACTTTTTTTTAATACAAATGAACTTTGACATCCATAGAAATATATGATCGTGATTTTCAGTTTAAATTACATATCTCAAGCAAAAATATATAAAGGATTTGACTTAACAATTTATTTTAAATACCAAAATCTACAAATTTCTTAATATTCGTCATTATACTTTTAAATAGTATAATTATAACATTCTTTTTAAAGTGAAAAGTCACTTCATAACTGATTTCACTTCAGATTTTAGCAGAAGTGCGCATATTTTCAGTAATAATCTAAAAGTACTCTTATAATCCCTTACACTCCAAGATTTCATAAACATTTATCCTGAACGTGATTATTGCTATAGTAAATAATCTTCGATATTGGCCCATCCTATTCTTCCATTCAAACAACAATAAATAATAATAAACCTTGCCCTACATCTTAGTTTCGGCCACCAACGGGAGCGGTAACGTCGCTGAACACTGGTAGTTCGGTCGAATCCCGCGAACCGGCTGCTTGCATGGGTTTTTTCGTGGTTTTTATGCGTAACGTGTTACACCAGTTTCCCTGAGAAAGTCCTCCACGAAGGCATCACACCATTAGCAGATAGCCATAGGGTGCTTGCCATAATTAATTCAGCACCACAAATTAAATTATTTTAACTTAATGTTTTTTTATCAGGTGTTTTTTCTTTTGTTTGTTATACTGAAATATGTGTTCAATATTGAATTATTTTTCTTTCTCTTTATAATTAAAAACGAGTTATATATCAAAATTAAACATGCAGCAGTTAAATAACACTGAAAAGAATATCTTACTTACTCTTTCGCTATTTTATTTAGCATTATACACAGATTTGTTTTTCCTTCAGGTTCAAGCATTTGTAAGTTATATCAATTAAATTACATCACACATACCTGTATCATCATAACAATGAAGGAAATATGTCACTCACTCATTCGATGTTTGCATCATAGTTGGTCGAGAAATTGTTCTTTCCTCACGGTGAGGCTATGTCAGTTTACTTAGTTCGCAAAGCTTAACCAGACGCTGCTTCAATACATAGAATTACGTTTGGGGATGTAAAGAAGTAACCAAACATGTGAATGAAGTTGGATACGCGAATTTTTAAACTAATCATTCAGGTACTCAGTATTGGTAAACATGATACTGAGTTTAAAATCTCACTACGATGTAAGTCTCATACTCAAAATGAAGATTAATTAAAAATTTAAAATGAGAGATTTTAATTTAAATGTAAAATAGCAGTCAAAATGAAAATTGTAAAATTACATCACAGTTATGCATGAAAACTACATAAATTCATTAAAAAAAATAGTTATTTTTCTGGTTTTAAAGAGTGTTTTTCCGCCAAAAAACGTATTAACGTGTATATTCTGACACAAACGCTATAGCACAATTTTCCACTTCCGCCTAGGTATAATAGCAAATTAACAACACAAATCAAATCAAACTGTTGATGCAACGAAAGTAAACAAACGCCAAGAACTAACGCTGTCACCTACATGACGTCATGCGTATGTAGCATAACTTTCTCCCTGCACTGCGCATCGCTCTTGGGCCCCCCTAAACGGCAACCTATGAGAGAGATGAGAGAGGCGATTCTATTATTTTCATCGAGGAGTAGGGAAGTTAGAATGACAAGCCAAAGTCTAGCTAGCCCCGTGTTTCCCAACGTGGGGCCCACGTCCCACAAGAGGGCAATGCGATTGTTAAGGGGGGCAATTCGAAAATGGCTTCGACCAGAGTTTAAGGGGACAAAGGGCGTTTTAAATATGTTTCATGAAGTCAAAATTTTTCGAAATTTCATTTTTTATTCCCCAAAATAAAGAAAAATGTAAAGTGATGTATACGTAAAAAAGTTTTTAAATTGCGGTGCATTTTAAATATTTTATAAAGAATTCTCGCTGTTGACATAGACATTTAAATGCTTTTAAACGCATTTAAATAACTAACACGTTATGCTTTCCAGACGTTTCTCGCACATTTCAGCCAACGAATTAATTTTATTTTTTACTGTAGGAATGGCAACCGGTATATTATTCTTTCCTTGAATGGCAACAGCAGCTGCTTTCAGCTTTGTTTATATTGATCTTTATATCATGATGATTTATTTCTTTCAGCCCTTAGTGAAATGAGGGGTTCAAGCAAGAAAAACGTTCGTCGGTATTCGGAGGCATATTTAAAACTTGGTTTCATAGCTGGTCGATAAACGGTCAACTTTTGTCTTTTATGTCAATAATGCCTGACCAACTAATCAATGAAACTAGGTCGTCTTGAGGCCCATTTGAAGGCGAAACATAATGCTGATATTAATTGAGATTTGAATTATTTTCACACTTTAAGGAAAATTTTTGAAAAAAAGAGTAATATTAAATCTTTATTTACTGCTCATAATGCAACTGTTAATCGTGCTCTTGAGGCTATTTATCAAATTTC